TGATCACTCACATTTGGTACATTGCCCTTCTCTTCACCCAAATCAATACCAAGGCTGTAAATCTTTATGGAAGTAGATTGCCCCATCTTCCTCCCATGCAGCAGCTGGTGGGTTGGAACCAACAACCCTCAGGTGAGAAGCCAAATGCCTTATCCACTACGCCACCAGAGCTCCTATGGCTACACTATAGAAAGGTATAAAAGAAAGTGTAGAAATAATCAATAAACAAATTAATTTCACAGTAGGATGTTTTGCAATAGGCTTAAGTGTAATTGCAGGAATCATTTTTTAAGTCATTGTGTTTCTGCGTTTGCTGCTCAGGGCATTCGAAGTGCTCTGAAGAATCGGTTGTAATGAATCTGTAACTGACATTAAACAACTGCCACATGGCAGGCTCTGTGCACTATCCAGCCCTGATGTTCCCCAGGTGGACCAACAGAGCTCGCTCCCCAGTCCTCTCCCACTCCTCTATGAATTCTTGCAACCAACAACCTCTCGGCTGGCTTCCCTGCTCTGAACATCTAGTGTCTTCACACTGGGGCTAGGATTCTCTTTCTGGTCCAGGCGGGATCGCTTTGGTCTCCTCCTCTAAAGTGTTCCATGACCCCTCATCACTGAGAGGGCATGACCCGGAGTCCCCAGCACCACCTGGAGTTCCTTCATGACTTGACCTCAATCTGACAGAGCACCCTGCCCTCATGGGTCTCTCCTCCCTCTCACCTCCCTGTCTCTTCAGGCAGTTTCTTCCACCTAGAATGCCCTCCTCCTGTTTCCACCTCAGGGGCCAACATTCCAGAACCTACTAGTTCTCTGTTCCTTGCCTACTCAAGAAGACTCTGACCTCAAGAAGCCAGGATGGGTGGTGGTTAAGGAACCAGATCCTGGCAGCAGACAGATAAGGGTTCAAACTTTGGCTCTGGCTCTTAGCAGCCTCTGAAGCCGTTTCCACATGCTTAAAATGAGCCCATGTGTCCATCAGTGAACATGGCAAAGGCAGCCCTTGCCTTCATGGGATTGGTGAGTCAAGTAGTCCCAACAAGAAATATCTAATGGCATACTGAGAGCTATGCTCTAAAAAGGAGGAAAAAGATTCTTGCCAGCATTTAAGGGGGCATGAGGGGAAGTGAGGAGAGTAGTAACGAGGTAGTGATGGAGGGATGGTGGTGAGGAAGAGTGTTCAAGTCAGAGATAACAGCATGTGCAAAGGCCCTGTGGTAGAAAGGAGTAGGAGGAGTAGCAAGGGGGGATCAGTAGCCCTCTGTACTCCTTACCTGGGGTTCTGTGGTTTGAGAGGGGCTAGGTTTGGGGAGAAAGAAAACCATAAATCCAATTGTGACCCCAGGACCCCAGGCCCGTAACCCACCTCTTCCTCTCATCCCAGATCTTTGGGGCAGGCCATCAAGCTGCCCTTGGCCCTTTTTCTCCCAGTTTCTTTTGACCATCTCTTCCTTGGGAGTAAAGAGTGAGGGCGTGGCCACATCAGGCCCTGCCCTTCTCTGGGGTTAAGCCAAGTTAGGGAGGGGGGAGCCAGGGAAACTCCCTTCCTCTCCTCTGTCCCTCCCCCAGCCTTGAAGCCTAATCTTCACCTCCCAGGCAGGCCCAGGCAAGAGGCCACCCCCGCCCCAGGCATCTGTGTCAGGCAGACAACCCTTCCGTCCAGAGTCCCCAGGCCAAGTTCTACACTTGCAGAAGGCCATGCAGTGGCATTGGTCAGTCAAGAGGTCCACCGGACAAGACCCATTTAGCCAGGACTTGGGGGGGGTAGAAGAGCAGGGCCTTCTGAAGCCAGATTGCCCGTATCATGGACAATGGAGATGCCATTCACCCCATGTGGTCTCCTTTGTCAGGTTGGCAGGCCACCGGCCTTAATTAGGACTGCCAGGGCACCTGCATGTCAGGAAGAAGTGCCAGGAGTTTTAGGAACACCTGGGAGGTAGGAAGGAATGACAACACAGTGAGCGGTCATGGAGGTATGGGATAAGGGTTACATGATGGCACCGTCATCGCAGCCAGCTTCTCAGCCCAAGGTGAGGTGGTTCCAAGGGAATGCTCCCACAAGGGGCTTCCCAGGCCATGTTTCAGAAAGCAGGGAAGAGAGGGTCCTACCATGCGAGAGGGGAGTCATCTGTCTCCCACACCGTCAACTAGACTGTTGTTTGAACAATCACCACCCAGCACTAGCTGGAGTTGGAGGAGGCAGCTGCAAACTGCAGGCTAAGGGGGAGGATGTCTGCCCCAGGGGCACAGGGAAGGTAGATAGCTCCAGGGACAATCTCTAAATTGTGCCCCCTCATTAGAGCAGCCAGGGGCAGTCTCTAAATTGCAGAGCCCCCAATTTCAAGATGAATAGATGTTGATAGCAGCAACACCTTCCACCCTCTTGTATGTCTGCCTCCATCAAATGCCTTTCATATTTCTGGCATCTCAGAATGTCATTCCGTGCCACATCTTTGATGTGGTGAAAAGTGTGTGAACTGTTCACTACAGATCCAATAAACCAAACTCACTACCAATCGAGTTGATTCCAACTCAGTGACCCCCACTGGGTTTCCCAGGCTATAAATCTTTAGGGAAGCAGATAGCCCCATCTTTCTTCCGTGGAGTGGCTGGTGGGTTTGAACCACTGACCTTTTATTTAGCAGCCAAAATGCTTTAACCACTACACCACCAGAGTTCCTTCACAAATACCCCAATGCTTACCTTCTTACTGAGTGCTCCGTTCCTGTCAAGAATTATAAATTTGAAAAGCACCTTTGATTCTATAGGAATCATAGACTTTGATTCTATAGGGTGGCACTATGGGGTTGAGAGACAGACAGATGCCAGCCATACTTAGAAACAGAATCTTTGATGTGGTGAAAAACTATGAACTTGTTCAGTACAGACTATTAAGTAAGCACAAGTAAGCCCATGCTTACCTTGCTTATTGGGTAATCTGTCCCCTTCAAGTGGCACCCAGGGCACTTACCATACCTGCCAGACCTTAAATATGCCTCTGGTCTGCTCTGCGTTGGACAGTCAGGGTCTTAGGGTGACCTGGAGCCATGGAACCCAAAGCCATGGAACTCATCACACAGCATGATGATAAGCCTCTCTGGCTGAGTTCCAATCTGGTTCTGCTGTTTGCTGACTGTGAGACCTCAGGAAGTACCTGGACTCCTCTGTTGTTGTTGTTATGTGCTGTCGAGTTGGACCCAACTCATAGCAACCCCTCCTTGGGTTTCCGAGGCAGTATCATTACGGAATTAGATTGCCCAACCTTCTTTCCAAGTTGTGGCTGGTGGGTTTGAACTGCCAGCCTTCTGGTGAGCAGTCAAGTGCCTTAGGCACTATGCTACCAGAGCTCCCTTTGACTCCTCTAGGGCTCAGTTTTTCCATCTGTAAATGGGGCTAGTAATAATGCCTACCTCAGAAAGCTATCAGGTGCATTTAAATGAGTTAACACCACGCTGTCTAATACAATAGCTACCGAGCATTGGCTAGCCCCAATTGAGATGTGCTTAAAGTGTGAAATCCACATGGGATGTCAAAGACTGTGTACTGGACTAAAGGATGCTGGGGTGCAGTAAATGATTTGCACTGGCTTTCCTAGTCACGGTCTTTGTGACTTTACCAGATTACTGGGTAAAACTCACTCACTGCTGTGGAGTCGAGCCTGACTCATAGTGACCACTCCTTGGGTTTCTGAGGTGGCGTCTTTACAGAAGTAGATTGCCCAGTCTTCCTTCTGAGATTACTGGATGGGACCATGCAAATAAAATATAGGGGACGCTTGTGGGGATCAATTAGTTTTGTCCTCGTCCTAGGCTTAAAATGAGACTTCTTAGAAGCAGAGAGGGGGGATCTCACTGCCATCGAGAAAGAAGAGCCAGAGTTGGGCTGGAGCACGTCTTTGGACCCAGCATCCCTGAGCTGGACCTCTTTGGCAGAGACGACCAGCTAAGACAACCGACTGAGGAACCAAGAAGCAAGAGACAGAGCAGCAGGCTTGCCAGCCCATGAAGTGAGAAAGCTGAGTGTCTTTGGGCAGGAGGCTTGCTGACAGAGTGAGGGGCACCTAGGTGTACCTACTGGCAGAGCTAAAAGAGCTTTATAAACTCCATAATCGTGAATATTATCTAGAGTTCTGTGTAACCAAAAAAAAAAACAAACTCACTACTGTCGAGTTAATTCGACTCATAGTGGCTCCTCCTTGCATTTCCTTCCGAGGTGGAATCTCTTCAGAAGTAGATTGCCCAGTCTTCCTTCCAAGGAGCGGCTAGTGGGTTTGAGCCGCCAGCCTTCTGGTTAGCAGTCAAATGCCTTAGGCACTACGCCACCAGAGCTTTCTTTGTATGGCATTGCTACAAAATCATCAAACCCAGCAGAGAATTAGCGAGTACTGTGGGAGGGATGGTCAGTGTCAGAATTAGTAAAACACCTGGAGGGTGGTGGCATGTCTGGCCTCATAGGAATAAGCCTTGGGTTGTTAATGGTGACTCTGTTTCCCCCTCCTGAGGTTGAAGGAGGTCAGAGGATGCCGCCCCCATGCCCTTTTTTGCAAATGCAAAACCTCTCCTTAGTTTTCACATTGATTATATGTTGAAGTGATAATATTTTAGACATTTGTTGTTGTTGTTGTTATGTGCCGTTGAGTTGGACCTGACTCATAGTGACCCCTCCTTGGGTTTCCGAGGCAGTATCACTACGGAAGTAGATTGCCCCATCTTCCTTCC